ATGGCAAGAATTTTAGGCACTCTAGAATATATTTTGAGACAAATACGGTTTGTGGGGTTTGTGATTTTCTTTAAATCTTACTACATGTTTCTAGTTCTTAATTACTTCTAGGATCTGGACCTGAAACCTATTAAAATATAAAGGTATTTGGGGTAGAATTTTCCCATGTTATAAATTCAGTACCTTACCATTTCTTTTCATGTGACTTTGGACCAATTTTTAGGAACAGAATGTATTTCACTTAAAAGATATACTAGGAAGAACATCCTATTCATTCACATTTGTGCCATTCCATATGTTTGATATGAGGGAACCATCCACTTGCCACAACTTTAAATCCTATAAATCTTAGTGTCTGAAATATCTATATTTTCACAAGTAATGTCTGCCTTGTCTTTAGGCTGAATTTTGTATGCCTTTTTTTGTTTTCCAGTATAATTATACATGGGTTATTAAAAATGGCATGTGTAAATGATAATATTAATAAAATACTAATTTGTACTCTAATAATGGTCTCCCACTGATAGAAAAATGCTGGGAAAGGTATGTTGACATTATTTCTGAAGCAGTTTTAGCTCATTACAAGAACAGCAAAATCTTCTATCCTTTTTTTTCTAAAATAAGAGCACAGTTTCAAAGCTCATCATCCATTTGACTTTCACCTAAAGAAAGGAATGATATCAATGGCTGAAAGAGGCTCAAGAGTTAATGAACTTTTGATTAAGTGCCATTTGTCACTAATCAGTTTCCCTTTTCAGGTACTAAACTTCTAATTCATTTTTTATCATTTAGGGAGTAAACTCAACATTTAAAGAAACCATATGGCTATATCCATATGAAATATCCATGCGGATATGGAATTGTGGAAAGCTCTGTGTGCTTAGAAGCAGGTTTGAGTCTTATTACTTACTGGCTTAAGTTATTAAATTGTGATTTTTCTCACCTATAAACTGAGGACCTTAATGTGTAAATAACAAGACTACAAAGATCCAATTAGCTACTAAGTGTAAAAACTGAAGTGTTCTTAGCTGGAAAAACCCTATATAAATATAACTTACTAACACTATCCCAGGTCTTTAAAGAGCTTAATAATTCAATGTGCTATAATGGAGGGAAAGTGGGTTTTGGAGTTCAACACCCAAAGTTTCCATATGTTTCTACTTATTTACTTATTATCTAAATACCAAAAATTTCAGTCATTGAATTCTGTTTCCACAGAAGAAAAAGCTGGACAATATACAAAATTGTAACATTTTGTGAGCCATCAGAGAATAAAGCCTCCAGGCAACTAAATGAACTGAATTCCAAAGAGTAATAAACTCCCTTAAAGAAGAAGAATGTTAATCTGATTCCAGGACATAGGTTAGCCATATTTACTAGTGAACAGGGTCACGGTATTTAAATGAATGAATAAATGAAGTGGCCCATAAATGTGGTCATTTCTTCATTCTAGTACATTGTTTTTTCCATGTGTTACCTTTCCCTGTAGGAGCATAGTAAGCCCTGAAGTCTGGACTAGGAGGCAAGGAAAAGGTCCAGGTCATAAGAACTCTGTTGGAATTTCAGGCACAATTTCAGCCAGTAATAAAGTGTTTCTTTGCTTCCATGGTTATGTTCCTTGTGTGTATATCTTTCTCAGCACCATAGGGAGGGTCAGCTCTAATTTAGCACAGAATTTGATTATTCCTGAGTACTTTGGGCATAAATAATGCCATATAATCACCTTTATACAATCAAAACCTCACTAATATTTCCAATAAGCATCATAATAAAATTAAGATGAAATGTTTTTACTGCTGATATAGCATATTTGTTACCAGATCTAGGCATATAATTATCCACAAAATGATTAAAAGTTTTAAGAGAACTAATATTTATAAGAAACCTACAAAGTGCCAAGAAATTTCTACCAATAACAACAATTTGCTGATGTCCCACAGTGTATCAAGGTCTACAGTAGGTGCTTAATGTGCTGTATTGAATTTAAATTTCACAATAGCTCTATGGAGTAAACTTGATTACTCCCATATCACAGAATGAACTGATGGTTAGGGAACTGAGGTTAAAGTTACTCAATCGGTAAATTTTATTTGCAACTAAAGGCTTTGTTAAGCCATTTGAAGTTCTTAAGTAATATTAATAACTTAATAACATACAATTGTATAATATTTTTTACTTTAAAAACTTCAAAACAGCCCTTGAAATTGCACAGCCTAGCAAAGTGCATCTAGCTCATCACAGCTCTCTATTTACATTCTGAGGTACTCACATTAGATGTATCTCCCATCTCCCAACACAAAAACTCTATATTGCTATGACGTACATTATTTCCAAACATAAGTCTCCATACCTATATGCCCACTCAACCAGAGAAAACCATACCAGCTACTAAAAAAGCTACACTATCTGTTTACCCACCATCCCCAGACCCAACTATAGGATCTTATCACTGCAGTATACAGAAAGCCATACCCAACACACATTCCAAAACACTGGAATAGGCAGAACAAAAGGAATTTGATCCCAAGGTTAATTCCAAGTTCACCTGGATAGATTATGCAAATCTTTAAGCCCATACCTGGCTGGAAAATCAGAGCAGAGAAGTAATGGGAATGCAGAGTTACCTCTACAGATCTGGGCAAAAAGAGAAGGAAAAAAGGGAATATATGATGAAATGTGGTAAGGATTTCTCTGACAGTATAGCCTGGATGAGTTCATCACTTTAATTGTATTAGGCACGAAGGAGAAAATGCAGGACAGGTCTATGTATGTATTTTATTAATGTGTAACACCCCTGCCTACTAGCAAATATTGCTCAATTAATCTCTGAAACTTAACCAATTAAATGATCATCCCTATACTTTGGGGTGGATTGAAGAGAAAGGGTAGATGCAAGGAACCTACAGAGTTTCCACACCAACATTATATATTTAGTAAATAATTTATAAGGAAGAGCAACCACTAAATCTTTAGAAAACAGTGTATTTTCTTTCATGTCCTTCTTTCTACCATTGTAATGACCTCTAGGTCTCCCAGTCTTTTTCTAAAATATTTGATCTAGCAAGTTCCTCCTTATTAACAGTCATTTGTATTTAGGTTTTCTCTTTCCCAAAAGATGGTAAATCATTTGACAAAGGTACTATGCCTTATTCCTCTTCGTGTCCACCATTGTACATTCCATGCAGTAGTAGTTCTATGGATATTACTCAATACAATTAATTTCCCTGCTGCTCTTCTGAAACAGGTAACCAAGCCAGGAGAGAACTCAGTTTTGTTTTGCTTCACAGTCCAACTCAGTTAATATATTATTGACTCTGGGGTGGAAGGTAAATTTTAGCCAAGGTTTTATTACTTCTGAGCAAGGTACTTCATTATGACTTTATTTGTACTTTCCAAGTTTTCACTAGAGAATAATGTTCAGCCTCAGATCTACTGGACTGGATGACAGAAATTCCATTTGGCATCATTTATTATATCAAAACATTATTATACAGTCTCATTAATTCTGTCATTTCAGCTGTGAGAAATCTAATCTTACAAAATGATTTAGAAGAAAAAGCTGAAATATAATTGGTGGCCCTTATGGTTTCCTTGTGGAAAGACCAATCAGTTGATAATCTAAAATAATTCATCATCATCAGTCAGATCACTCATCACACCAGAAAATATCATGGAGCTGATACTTTCTTTTCCCCACTGTGTATCTGGAGGGGTAGGAAGATTAGATTTATAGCTGATTTTAAAGCCACTAGCTTTTATAAACATTGCATAATGCGAAAATAATTTTTCACATTGAACAATTAATATTTGCAATGTTCCATGATATTTAAAAAGTTTGGGCCAAATCAATTCTCAGGACTGAAACAGTGAACTGTCCAAGGTTTCTTTAGCACTCTGTTCTATGAAGAGCTGTTACTTAACATTTCTTTTGTAGCTGCTCTCCTGCCTTTACTCCCAAGAGAGTATAACTTGGTTTTGACATCCACTTGAAATAAACTCTATTGTCCTGGAATATTGAGGTTTGTTTGCATGTTTGTGGGGAAATACCTGCTAAGTACAGCAATGTTCTGTCATCAAGTTGGAGACCCCAATCAATTACTCTGGGTCATCCAAGACCAGGAAATGCTTCTGAATTGAGCCATTCCCTGGCCCACTAACGCAGGACTCCTTGTGTCACTAACCACGGGTTTGATTACTTCTTTCTTCCTCAGCCACTGTTAGTAGCTACTAATCTATAATCTCTGTCAATCTTACAGATACACACTCAGAAAGTTTTTATAGCTCTGCTACAGCCAAATTTCAGCTACAGCCTATATCTGCTATTAGAACAACCTGAGCTGCCATGCAGCCCACATCCTGATCTTATCCAGAGTTGGGTTAAAAACTGATCTGGACCCTGAGTGTGTCTCGGAATAACCAAACTCCTCCCAACCTAAGTTTCTAGTTCTCTGTACAGTAAGCCAGTGTTAAAATAAGGGATTCAGATCAGTACATTTATTATTTAAAAGAGGAAGAAACATGCCAGCAAGGAATAAAATTATATTTTAAAGCAACTCCTTTCTCCCCATAAAAATTATATTTTTTTTTCTTTTTTTTTTGCAGTACGCGAGCCTCTCACTGTTGTGGCCTCTCCTGTTGCGGAGCACAGGCTCCGGACGCGCAAGCTCAGCAGCCATGGCTCACAGGCCTAGCTGCTCCGCTGCACGTGGCATCTTCCCGGACCGGGGCACAAACCCGTGTCCCCTGCATCGGCAGGTGGACTCTCAACCACTGAGCCACCAGGGAAGCCCTATATATATTATTTTAATCTTTTTAATTCAAGTCAATAATCAGAAATCTTTGGCAGTCTGCATTCCCCAAGGTACCCCACATCCCATCACGTCATTCACATATTCTTTGCTGAAGATGTGTTATTTTGTAGCTACTCTAAAAGTCAACTTATTAGCTTTTTTTTTTTTTTCTTGGCCACATCACTGCATGGCTCGCGGGATCTTAGTTAGTTCCCTGACCAGGGATTGAACCCGGGGCAATGGCAGTGAAAATGCCGAGTCCTAACCACTGGACCACCAGGGAAGTCCCAACTTATTGGTTTTATTTAATTTTATTTTATAAAATTGGATTATGGTTCTCATGGAAACATGTAATTAAATCTCTGCTGCTACTCAAGAGAGGTTCATTGTTTAAATAAAAATCATTATTACATTTTGCAATGACAATATAAAAACAAAGTTTCTTTTGACACACCACAACTTTTGGTAGAAATTGTGGAGAAATCAGTCAGTACAAAAAGGACTGTGATCTGACTCTTTTTGTATTTAAGAAATCTTTTTCTTTCTGCTAGAATTAATTAATTTTAGCTAAGAGCACTAAGAACTCATTCACCAAACTAAACTTGTAAACTTCTTTAGAAATATAATTTAAATTCTTCAGTAAACATGCTTGTATAATCCATTATTCATATTTTCTGCCAAATGATATGACCTTCCACTTAATGAGCATTATTGACAAACAGCTTAATTATTTTTTTAAATATAAAACATTTTATTAAGATTAAAAGGTCTAATATCTCTGAAGGAATCATAAGAACTTGAAAGTAGATATCTGAAAAATAGTAACCATCCCTGAAGTTTCAAGTATCACTGCCATACCACCTGCTCCATCTTAAATGTCAGGTTCACATGGGTTAAATGCTAGAAGTCCATAAAGTTGTAAGATAAAGGTCTTGGATACATAAATATGTTAAGCAGCTAGTAAAGAAAATCTTTATATTTCTAATAACTTAAGACAAAAAAAGAATGATTTCAAAAGAAAACTATGCCCATCTTTCTTTTATTCATATGGAAATAATAATTACTTAGTAAATCTCTTTTTTTATTCCATGATTGTGACTGAAATAGATCCGGTAGAAAAAAAAAAATTGGCATTATTCTTATTGAGTATCTCTTACATTGCAAAGAGAATCCTTAGATTTGAAGATGAAAATATGGTATCACTCCTTATAGAATGCTCACACTGTACTTGGTACAATACCAGGGACTTACTATCTTAAGAAATGCAGACAGAGCCATTTGCATATAACAAGAAAGCCAGGTCTTTGGTTAAATGTCAGTTTCAGAGGTACACGCTTTCAAGCATCTTTTAGGTTTTTTTCCCCTTTTTTCCTCCTATACCTTCCTCTTTTTTTCTCCTCTTCCTTGGGTTTCTGTTCGCTAGGGATTTTCATGGAAAGGGTAAATGAAAAACGTGCATTTTGAGGACAAAGGAGTAAAGAAATGGACAGTTTCAAGTGCATAGGCCTGCTTCAGGAACTAGAGAATATAACAGAGAAAAATCTCACCACGACATAAGAGACTTAGAAAGGAACACAGCTGAGAGATGGAACCAATTTCTACAACTGTTACTGTGTTCTCTAATACTGGAAACTGAAATAAATGGTGGGTCTTATGTGGTTTTCTTTGACACCACTGGGACTGCAGAGGAAGAGGCAGCTGTTGAAAACTGGCTTCACACCCCTCTGCCTCTATTCCACTTTGAGTTACATTAACTGATCCCGCAGATGTTGACTGAAACCGGCAGAAAAAACACCCTCAGGGTCAATTTGACATCCCATTTGGCTCTAAAATATTATAATTTAGGGACCCAGAAAAGTTAAGGTCAAATGATTGCAATTACTTAACTTGTATTGGAATAATCATGAAAGCATACCCTGCATGGATTCCACTTTACCTTTGTTTTCATCAATTTCATAATGGGATAACTTTGAATGAGTGTACTGAAGCAAATGTTACTCATCTTTTCATGATATGGAGCACAAAAGGAGAGTTAGACTAGTTAGAAAACATTGAGTCCTGCATGCATTATCCTAATAACACCTCACAAGTTTTCAGGTAGGAACTATTATTATCCCCCTTTTACAAAAGAGGTTAAATAACATGGCCAAGGTCACACAATTAGTGAGTGGCAGGTCAGGATTTGGACCCACTCATCTAACTCCAGAGCCAGCACCACGACTCCCTACATGACTTACACTAATGCATAAACTTATGCTAAGGATGAGCTGGAGCTGAGCAGATAGACTTGGGAAGGTGGGTTACCAAAGTCTTCCACAAAGTGTGGCATATACATCATTGGTGGTGTTCAAGATGAATTTTTGGTGATATGTAGATAGGCCTTTAAAAAATTTAATGGTAATGTATTTATTAAGATGTGTGGAGAATTAATATGATCAACTTAATAAACCCATTATTTCATGGATTTTTTTTTGTTGTCTAGAATGAAGCTAAATTTTAAACAGTGAACTATTTAATATGTATGCAAAGAAAAAAATCATAGGAAACTAATAGTAGAGATGGGAAGTTAATGAAGGAAAAGGCACAAACAGAAGAAATGAAATTTGGGAACCATGGAATTAAAGCACTCCATGCTGAAGAAATCACTAACACAAAGTCATAGGGACTTGAAAGCAAACAGTAAGTATAGAGAAGAGCAAATATGTCATTATGACTAGATTATAGGGTGGATAGAAATTAGACCTGAGAAGTTAGCATGTTAAGAACCTTAGAATTTGAAAAAAAGAAATTGAGAGTCATCAATAGATTTGACATGGCCAGATTTACAGGTAAATAAAAAACACTAGAGAAAAATCCTGGAGACAGAGGCCATGATAGCATACCCATATGATGGCTACTACCAAAAATCGAGGAAATAATAATTATTAGCAAGTATGTGGAGAAATTGTAACCCTTTGGCACTATTGGTAGGAATGTAAAATGGTGCAGCTGCTATGGAAAACTGTGTGGTGATTCCTCAAAATTTTACAAATAAAATTACCATATAATCCAGTAATTCTACTTTGGGGTACAGACCCAAAAGAAGAGAAAGTAGGTACTCAGTTAGATATTTGTAAAGTCATGTTCATAGCAGCATTACTTGTGATAACCAAAAGGTGGAAGCAATTAAAGTATCTATCAACAGATGAATGGATAAACAAAATGAGATATATATATATATGTATGTATTATTCAGCCTTAAAAAGAAAGGAACTTCTGAAACATGCTACAATATGGATGAACTTTGAGAATATTATACTAAGTGAAATACATCAGACACAAAGAACAAATACTGTATGATTCCACTTTTATCAAGTACATAGAGTAGTCAAATTCACAGAGACAGAAAGTAGAATGATGGTCACCAGGGCTGTGAAAGGAGGAAATGGAGAAGTTATTGTCTAGTGGGTACAGAGTTTCGGTCTTGCAAGATGAAAAGTGTTCTGTGGATGGATGGTAGTGATGGTAGCACAACAGTGTGAATATACTGGATGCCATTGAACTGTACACTTAAAAATGGTTAAGATGGTAAATCTCATGTGCATTTTAACAATGAAAAAAAAGAAACCATTATAATAATCCGCACAAAAAAAACACTGAATCCTTAGCTAAAACTTTAACCAAGTAAAGGGCAAGAAGCAATAACAGATGGAGTTACTGATTCCTAGTCATGGAAAGGGCTGGATAACCAGCAGAGCACAACTAACTCAACCATTCACCAGGTTGGGTCACTTCAGATGTTTTCAGCACATGATTTATTCATGGAACTTCTGAATTTATTTAAATAACAAATTATTGAATACTAACTGTGTACTAGGCTGTATACATCCTAGGGACAAAGTAGTGAACAAAAAAGACACTGTTCGTCTCATTTTCCAGAATGGATAGGGAAAGGTGATGGGTCTTTCTACAACTCATAGGTTTGAGCCCTTTGATCATTCTTACCTTGTGAGTCCAGATAGCACCTTCCATCCACAGCCTGTTTTCTTAGTCAATGTTTGCCAGACTTGGGGCGTGCCAACTTCTTATTTTGATAAGGAAAGCTCTTTTCAATTACTGTCAATTCAGAAAAGAAAGAAAATTCTAAGATACAAACAACAGCCTAACGCTAGATATAATCTTAAAATAAAGATCAATCAATAAATGCTAGAGAGGGTGTGGAAGAAAGGGAACCCTCCTACACTGTTGGTGGGAATGTAAATTGATACAGCCACTATGGAGAACAGTATGGAGGTTCCTTAAAAAACTGATAATGGAACTATCATATGACGCAGCAATCCCACTCCTAGGCATATACCTGGAGAAAACCATAATTTGAAAAGATACACGCACCCCAGTGTTCACTGCAGCACTATTTACAATAACCAGGACATGGAAGCAACCTAAATGTTCATCAACAGAGGAATGGATAAAGAAGAGGTGGTACATATATACAATGGAATATTACTCAGCCATAAAAAAGAACAAAATAATGCCATTTGCAACAATATGGATGGACCTGGAGATTGTCATACTGAGTGAAGTAAGTCAGACACAGAAAGACAAATATTGTATGATACTGCTTACATGTGGAATCTAAAAAAAGGGTACAAATGAACTTATAAAACTGAAGCAGAGTCACAGATGTAGAAAACAAACATATGGTTACCAGGGGGTAAGGGGGGTGGGGGAGAGGGATAAATTGGGAGATTGGGGTTGACACATACACACTACTATATATAAAATAGATAACTAATAAGGACCTACTGTATAGCACAGGGAACTCTACTCAATACGCTGTAATGGCCTCTATGGGGAAAGAATCTTTAAAAAGTGGTTATATGTATATGTATAACTGATTCACTTTGCTGTACACATGAAACTAACACAACACTGTAAATCAACTATACACCAATAAAAATTTAAAAAGAAAGATCAATCCAATAAATACATTCAGTTTTAACTCACTACCTGGACCTTATTTTTTCTCTTTTTTGCCATGAAACAATAAAAGTATCTTCAAGGGTATTTACTGTCCTGTGGACATTCCTCTGGATCAGCATTTAGAAACCACTGGACTAGGGTTCAGCCGATTCCTCAAAAGCTTGGTCCATGTTACCTCTACCTTCTTCCAAGTAACTAATGGCTTCAGGGGATCCTACTTTGATTGTCTTTGAACATTAATACCTATAAGTAATAGATACAAATAATAATACCTATAAAATACCCAAAGGCTTCTGCCAAGCCTCTAACAGTCCTTCCAGC